GCCCGCGAGGCAGTGCCGGATGGGGGCCCCGGGGCGCCGCGGCAGGAGCGGCCTGGCGCGCGTCCGGTCCTAGCGCCCTCGTCCGACTTCGGGCCCTCTGCGGCCCGCTGGGGTCCCCGTGCACCGGCAGCCGAGGACCGGATCCTGCGGAGCCCCACCGTGCGCCAGGCCTGGGCACCCTGCCTCGGCCGCGCTCCCGGCCGCCCCGGGACCCTCGGCAGGGAGCCAGCCCGGGGCCTTGCTGCAGCCTACCCCCCAGGGACGCCCCACTACCTGGCGCAGCTTCTGCGCTGGGTCCCTGCATCCAGCACTGGTCGTAGGGACAGCGGCCCCTCCTCTCTCGGGCCGGTGTCAAGTGCCTCCCCCTGCAGCCCTTGGAGCCCCCGGCGGCCTTCGCCCTGCAGTTCTCCCGACCTCCGCCAGAGCCCACTGCACTCGGCCCGCCTCAGCACTGGGGCTGGGGACAGCAGCGCCGGCCGATCTTTGCCGCAACCCCCAACAAGGTGCCACCAAAGGCGGCTGGCCCGCGCCTCTCAGCCAAGGTCGGAGAGCCAGGCGGCCTAGAGGCTCCGAACCCCTCTGTGTGATGAGCTGTCTAGGAGGGAGTGAGCTCCCTGTACCTTGAGGTGTTCAAGTAGAGTTGGGTGCCCTCAGGTGGGCACTGGAAGATTGAAAGATTCCGTGGGATGGGAGATTGAACTAAATGACACTGAAGGTTGCTCCCAGCAGTGATTCTGTCATACCTGCGCTCTGCCCTCACCTTAGCTGTGCTCATCCCCACAGTCCCCAGGGACCCTAGTGCCTCTCTGTCCTGTTGCACCCTCTGCTAGTCCCTCTCCTTCAACAGCCACCTCCGGGAAGGTTGTGGCCCTGGACGTCCAGACCCGCAGTCACCTGCCCATCCCCCAACCAACCATCTCCCACTTTGCATCCCTGCTTGCCAGCCCTTCAGTTGTGGGCCAAAGCTCTGGGCTCCTCCCCAGTGCCTCCTCCCATGGCACCTATGGGCAGGTGCTTCAGGACAGGCCATGTCCCCATGCAGCTGCCCCACCTCGGAGACCAGCTCTCAGCCCCCAGGCAATTGTTCTGGGCTTTTTCCATGTCTTTAGTCAAGTGGCCACACCAGGCTACTGATGGGAGGCCCCACTGTCCATGGTCGCCGCCTGGCTGGTTTCAGAGCACCTACGCCCCATGAGGGTGAGGACCACGTCTGCCATCTGTGGCTCAGCACTGGGCACATAGTAGGTCCTCAGTTTACCTTAGTTGTATGTATTTGTGACATGCTGACTTTTATATTTTATTGTCCACATCTAGAGGAACATCCATGAACATTAAATTGTTGCTCCCAGCTTGGCAAAGGGGAAGAGTGTTTTAGAAAAAGGATTAAGATGCTGCCTTCTACATTTGTCCAGGGCTTATATAACACTTCCACCACAGAGCAGCCACCATTTCCCAAGGGTCTGCTATGCAGCAGCCACTATAAGTGGCTCTGTCCCCTAGGCCACCACCACTTCAGGGTTCAGTGAAGATACCGAGGTTGGGCTGGGAGTGTAGCTCAGTAGTAGATCTCCTGACTAGCATGTGCAAGTCCTGGGTCCTAGCCCAATTCTATAGAAAGAAAAAAAAAGAAAAGAAAGAAAGACCTGTGGCTTAAGGTTCATCTGGCATTTGAATCTGAAATCACCACAGTACATCTTTAAAACAGTATACTTGCATTTATTTATTTATTTTTGCACTACTAGAGATTGAACTCAGGCCTTTGCACTGAGCTACATTCCTCACCTCCTTGTTTGTTTCTTAGTTTATTTTTGGACAGGGTCTCACTAAGTTGCTCACTTGCCCAGGCTGGGCCCAAACTTGTGCTCCTCCTACCTCAGCTTCCTAGAGTGCTGGGATGGCAGGTGTTCACTATGATGCACATTACACAGCCACCAACATGGTTGCTTTTACCAAGTTGAAATTCTCAGTCACAAATAAAAAATAAAATGGTGTTGGGGCCGGCAAGGTAGCTTGGTGGACTAAAGTGCCTGCTTAGGTGAGCTTAAGCAAGCACAAGGTCTGCAGTTCGATCCCCAACACCACATGCTGTGCCAGCCCTGCCCCAGGGCAGGCTGAGCTGGCTGCCAAAAAACAAACAAACAAAATGAATAAGTAAATAAGTCTTGTCTTAGTGGTTTTTCTCATTGCTGAGACAAAATACCTGACACCCAAAGTTAAAGAGGGAAAGGTTTACTCAGCTCACAGTTTGTAGAGGTTTCAGTCCATAATCAGCTGGTTCCAAGGCAAAGTGGTGCTGCAGAGGGGATTTGCGGACAAGAAACAGTTTGTGGCAAGCAGAAGGCAGCGGGCAGCAAGGTAGTGAACCAGCAGCGGCTGGCCTGTGCCTTTTATCCCTTCCAGGCGAATCATCCTTGGTGGTGCCATCCACATTCAGACTATGCCAGGCCAATCAGTGGAGTAACTTAATAATCACTCTTGATCCCAGCATCACACATGCTAGATCCAGTCACATCTAAAAAGCCCCACCTGTGACTAATTGAGGCTTTGGTGGGACATCTCGACACAGCCATAACAGGGTTAGAGTTAGGACCCTGGGTTCAGTTTGTAGTTTGAAAAAAATTTAAACAATTACCATATGACCTAACTATTCCATGTTTATGTTTATATACTATGAAATTGTATAGACTTGAGTAGATATGTACACCAATGTTTATAGTAAAACTATTCATGGTAGGTAAAAAAGCAACCTGGATATCCATCAACAGTGAATGGGGAAAAAAACCAGAAAATGGAAAGATATATATATATATATATATATATATATCCTTCAAAAAGAAAGACATTCTGACATGGTCTACAAACTGGATAATATTAAGTGAAGTAAGGCTGTCACAGAAGGACAAACACATGATTTCACATCTGTGAGGCACCTAGAAGTGTTCATTCCTGGAGACTGCTTACTTTAGCAGCACACATTCTAAAATTCCCTGAGACAAAGCAAAAATTGGTTATCCAGCTGGAGGACGGGAGGAGTGGGATTAGTGTTTAATGGCTAGAGCTCTTTTTAGGAAGATGATATAGTTGTGGAGACAGAGGCAGGTCACAACTGCACAATGTCAGTGTACCCAATGCCACTGAATTGTACACTTCAAAATTGTTAAATTGGGGCTAGGGAGAAAGCTCAGTTGAATAAGTGCTTGCCTGGCAAGTGCAAGGGCCTGAGTTCAATCCCCAGTTCCACAAAAAACAAAAAACAAAAACAAAAACAAAAAAACAGTGATTGATGGGCTGGAGAGATGGCTCAGTGGTCTAAAGCACCTACTTAGAACAAGCTTAGCTAAAGCACAGGGACCGCGGTTCAACCCCCCAGCGCCACATGCCAGTCAGCCCCGCCCCCTGGTGGGCTGAGCTGGCCACACACACACACACACACACACACACACACACTCTAAATAAAATGTAAAAATAAATAAATAAATAATTTAAAAAAAATGTTAAATTGGTAAGTTTTGTGCTACCTATATTTTTACCCCAATAAAACAAACAGTATAGAGCAAGTGTAAATGAATTGTACTGCATACGTTACAGGTGTCCACACTGCTCTTGCTCCTGTCACAGGGCTCACTGGTCTGTAGTGGGGTAGAGACAGGGACTGCTGCAATTAGAGACCTGCCTGCCCAGGAAGCAGGTGCCAAGGAGACCCTGGCAGGGCTCACGCGTGTGTAGCACTCACTGGTGAGTAGCAGGCACCCAGACCCCCCGGCCGCTAGCACCTGGGTGTTGCTGGGGGCTTCAGAGACCAAGCACATGTAGCTCAGTGCCACCCCAACGCCCTTCCACCCCCGCAACAATGCATTCCGATGCCATTCTCTACTAGGGGCTTTTAGGGGATCGAAGTTCCCCCTCTACCAGCTTACACAGGAAAGCAGTTGTGGGTCCCGTACCCTGCCAGAGTTTATGTCCTTCCCCCGTGCCTTCCTTAGGCCCTTCCTCTGCCTTTACTGGTCCCCTCCCTGCCTTGCAACCCTGCTCTTTGCTCCCATACGCCACCTCCCTGTCTTGTCCGTGTCCACCAGGAAGCTGCGGCCTGGACACCTGGACACCGCCAGTGCCATCTGTAACAACTGCTGAGTTTCCGTCCATAGGACGGGAGGTCACATTTGCCGAACTCCACATTGCGAGTGACAGCATCCCAGCCTACACTAGCTTAAACAAAGGGACCCAGTAGTTCAGTGTTTGGACAATACAGGAGCCAGGGGCAGGGTATCCGAGAATAAGAAAAGCCCAGGCATTCGCAGGCCAGCTCAGGAGCCCAGGCTCATTTCAGTCTCTCCTTCCTTTCTGTTACTTGAGTCTGCTGCTCCTGCCTGTCACTTTCTCTACAAACCTGAAGAGCTCGGGGGAGGTGGCCAGCAGGTTGAGCTTTGGGTCCCAGCTGAAGGATGCTGTTTCCTGTCCTTTAGGAAGCCCCCGATGTCCCCAGAACCAAAAGCAAGCTCTAAGTCCTTTAATACCCCTTGCCCTCAACCCTAAACCTCAAGGCCTGAGACATGTAGTGGTTCTGAGTGGGCTTTTGGTTTCTTTTTTAATGCCCCCTCTCTTGAAAGGTCAGTCACCTTAGCAGGAAAATCCTATCACTTATGTCAGTCATTCTGGTTTTTGTCACAGCCCACCCTGAATCAGGTTCTGTGGCCTATGAGTCACCAAAGCATCCTCATAAGCAAATGGATGAGGTGGCAGTGAATGGACAGATCCAGCTGGTCTGCTGAAGCAAGCACCAGGCTGCTCCCTAAAGCCAGGCACTCTGGGCCCAGTGCCTCCTCCCCTGGCTGCGTGCGCAGAGCTGCTCCTGCAGCTAACAGAGGAGAGCTGCAGAACGTTGTGAATCACCAAGTGCCACGACCTGCTCGCTTTTATGGTGGTTAATTTAATGTTATATAAACTTCATGTCCATTGGAAAGATATTGTTTAAAATATTCCTGCTTGGGGAACCTATCAGGGACACCTCTGGTGTCTCAGAAGCTGTTCCTGTTTCCCGTCCTTCCATTCCTATTCCCCATTCTTTTTCTCCAATAAAATGTCCTACTCTTAAAAAATAAATCCTGCTGATATGAAGAACCTCTCCTCCCCATTTACAATTAAAAATCCTCTCACTTTGCTTCCCAAAGCAGGAGAATGCGAGCCCTGGCCAGCTCAAAGGTAGGACCTGCAAGGATATTGTGCATGCCTATCCATGTGTTGTTTTTTGTGGTTTTATTACTTTTTTCCCCTAGGGCTAAGGATTGAGCCCGGGGCCTTCACACTGAGCTATTTTGCCAGCCCTTTTTGTTTCAAGACACAGTCTCAAGAAGTTACTGTTTTGCAGGT